TGGGCACAAAACAAGGACTTACAAAAGAAATATAAATGGTTACTAAATAAATTCTTCAACCTAACTTGTAATTTTAAAAATGGAAATTAAAATAAGAAGCTACTATTGTCATTTTCCAAACCGGCAAAAATACTTTTAAAATGGTAAAACTCAGTGGCAGCAAGGGTTAGGAGAAAAAACATACTGATACATTGTAAGTGGATATAAAATTGACAAAATACTCTTGCAATAAAGAGGAAAAACCTCAAAAAGTATATGCCTGTTGATCCAGCAATTTCATTTCTAGGAATTCATCCTAAGTAAATAGTATTTGATGTGCTATAAGGCTGGAATAGTAAAAGCTGAAAAGAAGCTAAATGTACAAAAATAAGGTACAGGTTGAATTACAGGTAACTGTGCAGCCATTAAATATTAAGTTAAAAATAAACATTTAATAAATACTAAATATTATCAACATGAACCAAAGATCATGTTAAATATGGCCAGGCGCAGTGGCTCATGCCTGTAATCCTAGCACTTGGGAGGCCAAGGTGGGAGGATCCCTTGAGGCCCTGAGTTTGACATGAGCCTGAGTAACATATTGAGACCCCATCTCTTTAAAAAATAAATAAATAAAAATCAGCCAGGGCATGGTGCCATATGCCTGTAGTCCCCATTACTGAGGAGGCTGAGGCAAGAGGACTGCTTAAGCCCCGGAGTTTGAGGTTGCCGTGAGCTATGATGATGCCACTGCACTCTAGCCTGGGCAACAGAGTGAGACCCTGTCTCAAAACAACAACAAACGTGTTAAATATGCTCAACAGTCAACATTAATCAAAGATAACAGTACTAGTCATTGCAATATACAGTACTGACAAATATGGCCTCCCAAATCTCCTCAGTCAGGTCACGTAGTTGAACCAATAATAAAACAGTGAAGACTCCCATTCATTTAATTATATCTGAGGAGGAAAAAGACAAGAGAAGATAATTGTCCTTCCTTTATTTTGATGTAATAATCTTGGAAGGGAAAGGAACCAGCAAAGATAGCTAGTCTTGCTTTGATTCAGAGAGATGTGAGAGGAAAAGTAAAGTTTATTAAAGGTCTAAAGATCACATCCCAGCAGGATGCTGCTTCAAGGTCCATCCATCACAGTCTTTCTGTGATAGGAAAGATAGGCTCCACATAGCTAAGCCATTACCCAGAAACCATTAACACTACAAAGGTCTTATTGAATCTATGAGGACAGAGGTGGAAAAGGCCAGAACACAAGAGTTTTCCATTTGGGACTAGGAATAGGAGAAAAGGTAGGAGAGGTAATAGGTGCCATTTCTATCATTTACTTTTGTCCATGCATCCAGTAAGCAAGCCTTTTTAAAACCTTTTAAAAATGCCTGAGTGCTTAATTCAACCTCACAAATGAGCTAAGTTAAACTGAAGTATAGGCTTTGTATTAGTTACTGGTATTGGCCTAGAAGCTATTTTCCAATAAAATGAACAGTATAGATATCGATATCTCTATTTTTTTGTCTGAATTTTCTAAAATAAAAAAATATAAAGAACACTGCTACTTTTGAGGCAGTTTCTGGTTACTGCAGGTATTCAAGCATAGGCTAAGAACACCTCTTGGCAGAAAAGCTGAAAGGGTGTTTATAGATATACAAGATTTGTTGAACTACAGGATTTTAAAGATTCCTCTGCCTGTGTGATTCCACAATTCTCTTTAGTTTGGTATATTCCATTGGGAATAAGTGAAAATATGCTGTTATATGTAATAAAATGAAGGGTCTGTAATACAATTATATGGGTTTTAATCACTAGGTACAATATGTATTTTTTGGATTTTACAAATAACATTTATTAATTTACATTGAACATATTCTGTAGACATTTCAGTGACAACTCTTTGGAGAAATTAAGATGATCGGCTTACCTTCCGAAGTGTCGCTTCAGTGGAAGCCTTCCAATATCTTGGATAAAAGAAATCTGAGCTGAAAACAGATTTAAAAAAAGTTTTAAACAATTTTCCAAACAAAATCTACAAATGGTCAGTAAGCACATGAAAAGATGCTTCACTAATCTTCACGGAAATGCATAGCTAAGCTACAGTGAGATATATACTTCACACCTATTAAGGATAACTATTATCAACAAACAGAAAACAAGTGTTGGCAAAGATGTGGAGAAATTTGAACTTTTTGCATTGCTGATGGAAATATAAAACATTGTAGCCATTGTGGAAAATAGTATGGTAGGTCTTCAAAAAATTAAAAGGAGCATTATTAGCTGGGAGTGGTGGCTCACACCTGTATTCCCAGCTACTTGGGAGGCAGAAGTGGGAGAATAGCTTGAGCCCAGGAGTTTGTGACTAGCCTGGGCAACATAGCGAGACCCCCTCTGAAAAGAAAAAATTATTATATGCTCCAACAATTCCACTTCAGGGTATATACCCAAAAGAATTGAAAGCAGGGCCTCAAAGAGATTGCCTGTATATCCATGTTCATAGCAGCATTATTCACAATAGTGAAAAGGTAGAAGCAATCCAAGTGTCAATCAAGAGATGAATGGGAAAAAAAAAAAAAAAA